TTTCTGCGCAACGCACTATTCCGACCCATGCCACAATACCACGCGTGAATGGAACTTGTGTAGGAACGCCCGCGTCGGCTGCCGCCTTCTGGCAACCAACAAATCATCTAGCCCGTGCTTTCCGTGCTCTGAAGGCCCCCTGCCCTGTCGTTTCGCGGTGCTGGGGCGTCCTTCCCACGTCCGGCAAAAGGTCAAAAATGCATCAGGCCGGCTTCCGCAATGCGTTAACCATCACAACAACCATTCTTGCCCTTACAGCCCTGGTCGGCAATTCGCCTGCGCATCGCCTGGCTGCCAGGAGGAACGGAGCGATGCAGCCCACAGTACTTGCGTCCCATGCCAAGCCGGACGTCGACCGTGCACAGTGTGCTTCTCGCGCCGAGGAGCGCCCGGAACTCCAGATCTGTGCGCTCACTGTGGCGGGGCCAGCCCAGCCGCCAGCCCTTCTCTAGCCGCTCCAGCGCAGTCTTCGACGGCGCTTGCATCTACGCCCTCGCGATGTTGCGCTCCGAAGTGCGGGGCCGCCTGCAACTTCCGCGCCCCTCGACAACACGGACAGCATTGCCTCGTCTGCCAACCGCCCGCCCTGCTCCACTTCTGCCGCACGCCCGCGTGTACGAACGTAGTCGAGTCGCCAGAGGACACTTTGTGTTGTCTTTGCACTTCGTCCTGTTGCCCATGCGCGACGCGTAGGTGCGACGGCCGTTCCACCCCTGGTTCAGCAGGCCTATGTCGAACGTGTGGGCTGTCCACACCACAACCACTACCATCCCTCTCCAAACGATCCTACGAGCAAGCCGAACGCCCTTGTAGCTCGTCTGGGTGCAACGGTGTAGCTTAACGGAAGTCGTCCGACGGCCTCTGCATCGCGTGCATTCGGAAAGGGAAGCCATGTAGCAATCGTGCCATTGGGTGCGCTTTTCGCGTGGGCCCTCTTCGGCACCGTGGTGGAATGTAGGCACTGTTGCCTCGCGGGGCCCCGTTGCCAGGGGCCCGGAAAGGCCGGCTTCCGCGCCCCCGCCCGCCATGGCGTGCGACGCGCAGTGCCGCACAACAACGGCATGTGCGAACGTTGCTTTAAACCACATGTTCCTTCCCACTGTGCGACAGAAAGTTGACGAAAGCAATGTACGCCACCGGATACTTCCCCGACCACGTCCGACATGCCGCGGTAGCCACCGCCGCCGCCGGGCCCCATCATCCTCCGACGTCGGGGTCTTCTGGTGTCCCACACGCCCGTCCACGTAGCGATCCGTTGCAAGCACTCCGCAAGCAGGTGGGGGCAGCCGTCCGCATGTACTTCCGAGCACGTGACTCGCCGAAATGTTCCGTGCCGTGGTGTCGCCTCAAGTCCACCCGCGTAGCACTTCCGAACTCGTCCAGCTGTCCGCCCGCCTGCGCAGCGCATCGGAACTGGTTCGCAGAACCCGTGCCTGGGACTTCTCTTGGCGTACGCACCGGCCACCGCGCCAGCTGGTGGTCGACAGACGAATGATGCAGCAACCGCGTTCCGAAAGCGTCGCTCTCTCCGACCGGCCACTTTCAAGGAGCCTGCGCAACGTGCGGGGTTCTGCACTTCTTCGCCGAACGCGCGCGTTGCCCGGCAGCACGCAGAAAGGACTTCGGCGCGTGCTGCAGGTACGGAGCCCTGGCTGGCATCCCCCTACTGCCTCCCGCTCCGGCCGAAATGGCTCAGCTCCTTCGTCCGGGTCCTTCCCACGACCACTTCATGCAGCACACTCGGTCGTACAACTGCGCCCTTGGATTCGCATCCTTCAACAGCGAGAGCACTGTCGCTGCACGGAAGACCCGCACGGAAGACCCCCTGTCGGGCACCCGGGCGCCGGGGCACCCGGGCACCCGGGCACTGCAGGCACCCCGGAACCGGGGCATCCGGGCATCCCCCGGGCACCCGGGAAGGAGGAGGGAGGATGATGATGAGGAGGAGGAGGAGGAGGAGGAGGAGTGAACGTCGGGCAGGCGTCCAGCGCAATCCGAGCCGAGGGTAGAGCCAGAAGGAGTAGGAGGTGGAGGGGACCGGGAGGACCGTTTCGGCCGTTCGAAAAAACACCTCATCCATGTCCTCCTCCTCCTCCTCCTCCTCCTCCTCCTCCTCCTCCTCCTGCTCGTTCTCTTCCCCCTCCCTTCCATAATCAGACTCTTCCTCCGCCGGCTCGGCTCGGCCCGGCCCGGCCCGGCTCGGCCAGCGGAGGAGGAGGAGGGAGGAGGAGTGGGAGGATGAAGACAGGACAGGGGGGGAGTAGGACGACGAGGAGGAGGAGGAGGAGGAGGAGGAGGAGGAGGAGGAGGAGGAAGGGGAGAAAGAGCGAGGAGGCGGGGAGGGACATGGGCAAGGGGAGGCGGATGAGGACTAATTTCGTGGAGGAGCAGGCGTTCGCAACCGGCGCAGCATCCAGGCAGAAGAGGAGGAGGAGGAGGAGGAGCAGGAGGAGGAAGAGCAGGAGGAGGAGGAGGAGTAGGAGGAGGAGGAGGATGAAGAGGAGGAAGCGCAGGAGGAGGCCCGGTTCGCCTGAGACATCCTCAAAGCTCTGGGTTCCGAGACGTCCTGACCTGAGTTGGTCAGACCATTTTCGCCTGAGACATCCTCGAAACTCTGACCTCGGAGGTGCCCTGCCCCACGGTGGTCCGGGCACTTTCGCTTGAGACACGCTCGCATTTCTGGGTTCCGAGACGCCCTGAGGTGAGGTGTTCACTCCGATCTCGCCTGAGACATCCTGCGATCTCTGACCTCGGTGGTGCCCTGCCCCATGGTGGTCCGGGCACGTTCGCCTGAGACATCCTCGCAACTCTGGGTTCCGAGATGCACTGAGCTCTGACCTCGGAGATACATTGCCCCAAGGTGGTCTGGCCACTTCCGCCTGAGACCCTCGCCACTCTGAGTTGCGAGATGCCCTGAGCAGGTGGTCTGGCCACTAACGCCTGAGGCATCCTCACAACTCTGACCTCTTGGGGCCTCCGGGGGGGCCTCTTGGGCACTCTTGGCCAGGGCCCAGAAACAAAACCAGGCCAGGGCCCAGAGACAAAATCCGAAACGCCCCAGAAACAAAACTTGAAACACAACTTGAAACAACACCCTTGAAACAATTGTCCGGCTGTGGAGCCGCCTGTCGGGACACACCGCCCTATGCATGTGTGATGTTAACCCATGCGCGCCCCGTATGATTCACACATAGGTATCATATTCAGCTAGGGGGGCATGGTTGTATATCTGTATATCTGAGACCACAGCACACGTATATCTATGAACATCTGTGACCTCGTATCATACGTACATGTATCTACATGCGTGGTACAGCATCTTACGTGCGTGCATGTACATGCAGTGTGTCAATGTTTACGTATGTGTATGCATATGCATGGTATCACATCTAGGTATGTGTACGCATATGCATGGTGT